AGTGTAAATCTGGTCCTTGTTAATCTGTTTGGCTAAAAATGAAGTTCTTGCTTAATGCTAGTTAAAACAATCATGATAAATAAAGAAGCATCTTGGGCCAAATTGTGGTGCTATATTATTTTTCTTTAAAAGAAATAAATTGGAAAATCCTGTTTAACAAAGAAGTGTATGACTTAATAATCTAATTTTATCTCTATGATAGTGATTGCTAAGTAGATTTTTCTCGAAGCTGTCGTGTATATTTTCATTAGGAGAACTGGTTTTGCGTAGCCAAGCAGTTACCATTTAGAAGTTGGTTTTAAACTTTAGAGTATAAGAAGATAGAGAATCAAGATGGCAGAATAGGGTAAGGACACATTTCAACAAATGGAGAATCACTGGCCAGAGTGAAGCAAAGAGGGCACATTCCAGGAAATAAGCGGAGAAGAGGCTGGTGGCACAGGGGCACCTGGGAACTAATAGACACAGGAGAGCAGTAGAGATAACAGTGTGGTGTTGCTGTGACCGGATACCCAAGTGGCAGTAGATGAGTGGTGAACTGAGCTCCACTGACAGAGCTCCACCAGCAGCCAGGTGCGAAGGGGAGTTCAGCAGGAGCTCTGAGGGTGAACACAGACAAAAGAGCTGCTTCTTGCATTCAACCAGTAGCAGAGACAGAGCAGTATACCCCAAACAGGTGGTGCAGGAACAAGGTGGATTTCACAGCCCAGCGCCCCATCAGGTGCTGTTTTGTGTAGGGAGTCAAAGGCTGTGGGATGGATGGGACTGTGCATGCACTAAGCTGGAAGTGAATTCATTTTGAGCTCAGTGTATTGCACTAAGGTGGCATCCTACAGGTTCCATGCAAAATAAGTCTGGGTAGCCCCTAGACCTAATGGCCAACAGATCAGGAACCCTAGTAGTGGCACACCAGGGGCCATTTTGTACAGTGGTGCAAAAGCTGCTGGGACAACGGTGAGCTATACTTGCACTGAACTGGGAGCTAACTCAATTACAGCTCAATGTGTTGCACTGGTCCCACAAGGAAAATAATACCAGCTGTGACATCGTACTGGTCAAAATACATCTGAGTGGCCCTCAGACCTAACAGCCAGCAAGTTCCAGCAAGATCAGCATCACCAACAACCTAATTATTTAGGATACCTGAAATTTCCCTAATTCTGGGAACTGCTCCAACCAGGAGTGGGAGAAAGGTTGCATAGACAATGATGCAGCCTCAGCAGGGGATTGCAAGAGGTGGAGACTGGTGAGCCAGGAGCTGGGGCAATGGAGACCATGGTGGAGGCATAATACAAGAATCCAGACTGGAAACTTACTGGAGGGGGTGGTATAAGTGATTGCATACAAAGAACTGCGTACCAAACATAATCAGTAAAATTGACCTGTAGACCTGTGAGTGACCCAGCTTAGAAACCTGCCCTGAAGAGAGGAATCTGCTAACCAGAACTGCAATGACCAGGAGCAGAAGAGAGACACAATGAATATTACTAAAAACCCTCCTGCAGGGGAACAAAAGGCTTTGCTAACGGCAGAGTTAACTGAAGAATACTTAGAAGAAATGGGGGATAAGCTTATAATAAAGCTTATCAACAATGAGAAGCACATACAGGAGCTCAAGGAATTTAAGGAATGTGTCACACAGGAAATACTAACACAAACAAAATCAAGCTGAATTATTGGAAATGAAGGATACAGTGGGGCAAATTAAAAATTCAATGGAAAGTCTCAGTAATAGAACAAATGAAGCAGAAGAATCTCAGAATTGAAAGATATTTTTCTTGTCACAATGAGGAAATAAAAAACTGGAAGCGAAGCTGGGTCAAGCTAAAAAAAAATTCAAGAATTTAGAGACACTATTAAAAAGGCCAATATTGAGTATGGATGTTCCAAAAGGCGCAGAAAGAGAAGCTAGGAAAATTTCCCTATTATGGAGAAAGAATTGGGAAACAACATCTAGGAGGGGCACAGAACTCCCGTTAGGATTGAACAAAAGCAATCTTCACCATGACACACAATAGTCAAAGCTCTGTTTAGTCAGACATAAGGAAAAGATCCTTAAATGTGCTCGTGAAAAAAAGTCAGTGAACATACAGAGGAATCTGAATCAGACTCACAACTGACCTCTCACAAGAAACTCTGTAGGCCAGAAGAGAATGGAGCGACATATTCTAGATTCTAAGAGGAAATATTTGTCAGCCTAGAATAATGTACCCAACAGAACTTTCCTTTGTCTTTGAAAATGAAAGAAAATTTCTTCCACAGTAAAGAAAAGCTCAGAAAATGTGCCTCTTCCATAGATGATACTTAAGATGTTTTCTTGACAGACAAGTAATAGCACCCACCAAAACCAAAGACAGATGTAAAGAGCATTCCAATGAAAGTAATAAAGAGATTAAATTAAATGAACGACCCATTGCTAAAGTGACAGGACCAAATTACCACTCATTCATATTAACCCTAAATGTGAAGGACTTAAACTCATCAGTCAAACGTCATAGATTAGTAAACTGGATTATAAAAATAGAACCCATCTATCTGTTGCCTATAGGAGACCCATCTCGCCATCAAAGATCAGTGGAAACTATATCATTGATTTTGATGCTTTTGATTTTATTTTCATTTCTTAAACAGTTTTTTTTGTTTCATTTTAAATTCTTAACTGATTCAAAGATTATGCAATAGCATCATTTTCTGCAAGATAATGGTTCATGGTTTTCATTTCCTCAGCAACACATTGGTCCTCCAGTGGCATATTATTTAACTTCATGGCATTGTAAATTTCTATTTTACTTCCTTTTGTTGATTTTGTTTTGTGGCTTTTCATTTAAGGTTTTGTATAGTAATTGTGTAATGGAGTCTGTCATATTCAGATGTAAGGATACAAGATAGAATGCAATTCTACTTCTAGATCAAAGATGGACTCCCAGTAAAACTGTTGAATCTATCTTGACAGTAAGATGGTGGTTCTGTCATTGTCCATGCCCACAGTGATGGACTTAGGGCTGCTATACCACAGAATTAATATAGGGGAGCTCAGTGGGGTGGAGGCATCTTGGGGAGGGGGATAGGGAATTTCCACAGCCAGTGAAAATATATCATAATAATTTAAATGAAGAAAAAATATTAGAAGATGTAACACCGAATCTTAGATTTAACATATCCAACAACATATTACTCACCCCATAGAGATTTGTGAATAAGCTTCATCTATCCTAAGATTTTTGTTTTTGAATTTTTCATTTTTTAACTTGGATTTATTGTGGTGTTTTTATTGTTTTACATGCTGAATTTCAGAAAAAAGTTAATTGTACCTAGTCTGTGACAGACATTACACTAGACCTTTGGTGTATATGAGCTAAATAATCAAACATGTAATTTTCTTAAGATGTTTTCATTATGAAAATATTATCGTTATTGTATTTTTTTCAGCCTTACTTGTTACGAGTCTCTTATTTATCTGAAATTCACTGGTATTTTTTCAGAACCAAAGCAGGGTCCTACCTTAAAGTATTTAGCTCTTAATATTGTAGAGGCTTTATCCAGTTTACTTGCTCTGCATTTTTTAGTGTTTGTGAGTTTTTTTAAAATAATTTTTTAAATTGGAAAGTCAGATAGGCAGAGCAGAGAGATAGAAAGACCTTCTGTCTGATGATTCACTCCCCAAGCAGCCACAGCGGCCTCAGCTGAGCTGATCTGAAGCCAGGGGCTGGAGCTTCTTCCATGTCTCCCACGCGGGTGCAGGTTCCCAAGGCTTTTGGGCCATCCTCCACTGCTTTCCCAGGCCTCAGTCATTTAGCTGGATGGGAACCGGTGCCCATATGGGATCCTGGCACTTCCAAGGCAAGGACTTATCCACTAGGCTACTGTGCCAGGTCCTCATGTGTGTGTGTTTTATCAGATTGATAATTTTGACAAGCTTAACTTTGTACTTATAGTATACTTTATTGCTTATCCTTCTGTTAGAATTAAACCAGGGTGGATAGGATGCAAATTTAGTAATTTATACATGTTGCTTGGCCCCTTTCTAGAAATTTCTCTATAAAGTCGCACTTATCTCCAGTGCCAATTTTGTCTATGACTTTATTCATGAATTAGTTCTTCCTATTATGCATTGTCCCAAATATAGCTTCTTCTTTTGCTCTCTTAATGTCTACTTGCCTTTTCTGTTTTATTCCAGCTGTCACATCTGGGTCCTTATTTATTTCCAATACTTCCCCTTTCTCTGCACCACAGTTTGTGTTGGAACTCTTTCTTTGCTTGTACAACAACCAAGAATCTCTGTCATTGCCTTTACTGCTTTAATGTTTTGCTAAAGTAATGCATCTTTCTCACGAGACTTTGCCTTCGCTCCTGTGAGGAATTGTCTGCTTTTAAACTTATGCTTTCATTGCTGAGCACAGTACTTGGCAAACAATACATTTCTGATAGGTATTTGATTATATGAGTAAATAAATGGTTTTGGTTGTTATATTTATCATTTTTAAAACTTTAACATGTAAGCTTTATTTCTCTGAGGACCTATAATAATCTTTTGAACGACAAGCATAATTTTTCCCCTTAAAATTGTGTAAAAAGTTTCAGAAGCATTTGAATATAATGACATTCAGCTGGTCATGGTGAGCTTTCTTTCCCTAATCTCTACTCTCCTTCTGCCTCTTAGGATACAGATCTTGGGAATGAGGCAGAGTAAAGAACTTTAGGTTGGATAAAGATTAGGATTCCCTGCTGGCTTGTAATTATCAGAATCTGGCTGGTTATTTATGTGGGTGAAACGATGCATACAATATACACACCCAAAGTAAAGCATATGTGGTTGTTAGAGCAGTGTTTGAATCCCCCAGTGGGATGTCATGGGGTATGTTTATAAACTCCCACTAAGCATTGGTTCTACAATGGAATTTCACTGGCATTGAGATAATAATTTGCACAGCCAAATTACCTTCTTTACAAAAACCCGGGGAATCATGAGGGCCTAATCCTTTATTAATATCAACCCATAGGCTGCAAGAAAGCGTAAGATTGCCATTCGAAAAGCCCAAGGGAAAAATGTGGAGGCCATTCGGGAATTGAATGAGTATCTGGAACAGTGAGTGTTTTCCAAGAGGATTTGGTTTTGTTATTCTGATAAATCTTTTTTTAATTAAAATGGAATTTGCATTTGATTTTTCTGTTTGCCTTCATGCTGTTCACTTACAGACTATCCACACACTTACTTTCCCCTCCTTTCCCTTTCCACCAGGTTTGTTGGAGATCAAGAAGCCTGGCATGAACTGGCAGAACTTTATATCAATGAACATGAGTGAGTTGTTGAAAATGTGTATAATTTTGTTAGAAGTGCAGTTTTCATCACTGAAAGTTGAGAAAGTATAGTGGTTTCCAGGGGATTGGCGAGGAGGTGTGAAGTACATGTTACTTTAAATAAGAAAAAGTTATCAATTAAATGGAAAATTATAGATTAAAAAGTTGCCATTCATATAATGTGTATTGATTTATTTAGGCAATTCATATTTCCCTAAAATATTTTTGCCCCAGAAACGAGTTTTTCCTTAAGATAGCATTCTTTGGAATTACAAAGTCCTGCACTAAGCTAAGGTTATTTTTAGTGAATGAAAATTGTTAATTTTTAGCCTTCAAATTATTCTTATATACCAAGAGTATTATACTCCCTGCTGCTTAAGAATTCTGTCAGTTATATGCATTTATTAGCTCAGCACCAAGGGAATTGACTCTTCCAAAAGTAGAATTCTGTTGCCTGGGTAAAAAAACCAGGAAAAGTCAAGAATGCTGAATGCTCTAGGAACATGCTTATTGGATATTTAATGTTTTTGTTATTGCTGTAGTGACAGGAGGAAATCCCATTGTGAGAGGATTAGTGCAGCGTCTCAGCACAAGTTTTCAAATATCACAGCATTAACACGAGCTTCATGCAGAGGCATAATTTTTTTCCTTTAGTCTTTGTGAGTCTTAAGTTTATCATCACGTTTCTGTCCTTTTTGAGAGAGAAATTCTCACACATATTCTTGTATATGAATTTGTTAGCTTCATTCTCATACTACACACAACTGGCCCAGAAAATTAAGTCAAATGAAGACATTTGTCTGTTGCCTTTTCCCAGGTTTACAAATATACTGTGGGAGGAAAGATAAGGCAGTTATTTCCGTAATTTTAGCAACAGTGAGAGCTACAATAAACGGAATAGTTGTCAGATAATGAATGTATGCTAAATTCTGAGTTCTTTATTTCTCTGCATTATTCTATCAGAACTTCTTTATGCTAGGAAATTATTTCTAGAATCATATTTAATACAAATGCATATATGTTTGTATAGAGACATATGCATGATTTTCTCATGCAGGTGACACTGTATATTGATACTGAAATAATGTAGAACTGAATATTCAGAATGCAGCTTAAAATTAGATTTGTTTTGTTCCTAAAAGAGGTGAAAAACATTTTAAAATATTTCAAATGAAAACAAGTCTTTGGTTTTTTTGTTCAGCTAAAGAAATGCTTAATGTAGAAAATTTAGGGCCCGGCACGGTGGCACAGTGGTTAAGGTCCTCGCCTTGCACACCCGGGATCTCATATGGGCACTGGTTCTATCCCGGCAGCCCCGCTTCCCTTCCAGCTCCCTGCCTGTGGCCCGGGAAAGCAGTCGAGGATGGCCCAAAGCTTTGGGACCCTGCACCCGCGTGGGAAACCCGATAGAGGCTCCTGGCTTCGGATTGGCACAGCACCGGCCATTGTGCTCACTTGGGGAGTGAGTCATCGGACGGAAGATCTTCCTCTCTGTCTCTCCTCTCTGTATATCTGCCTTTCCAATAATAAAAAAAATAATAATAATAAAAATAAAAAAAAAGAAAAGAAAATTTGGGAAGTGAAAGTGCATAAGTTATTGCAATTTAAAAATTCTGAATTGGAGTTTCTATTTGATTTTTATGCTACTATACCACTTAAAACTCCAAACTTCTGGAACGGCTGCTTCCTAATTTATCAAAAATCAATCACTATAAACATATATCAAGATCTTATTATAAGTCTTTTTGTTATTTATATATCCTCACTATACCTTAAGTGTTTTTAGCCAGTTTTCTAGAAGGCATTCATAATTTTATATTTTCAATGTAATGCTGTAGTATAAAGCTTTTTTTTTTTAAAGGTTTATTTATTTTTATTACAAAGTCAGATATACAGAGGAGGAGAGACAGAGAGAAAGATCATCCGTCTGGTGACTCACTCCTCAAGAGACCACAGCGGCCAGTGCTGTGCCCGTCTGAAGCCAGGAGCCAGAAACTTCTTTCGGGTATCCCGTGCGGGTGCAGGGTCCCAAAGCTTTGGGCCGTCCTCAGCTGGTTTCCCAGGCCACAGGCAGGGAGCTGGATGGGAAGCGGGGCTGCCGGGATTAGAACAGGCACCCATCTGGGATCCTGACGCATTCAAGGCGAGGACCTTAGCTGCTAGGCCATGCTGCTGGGCCCAGTATAATGCTCTTTGTGAATGATATTAACTTAACCTTGTTACATTTCTTTTTAAAACTTTATGTTTATCTTATAACTATATTTTTAGGAAGTCCGTTATCTTTGCTCATCTCTAATCTTTTTAATCATCAGATTTAGATTGAATTTTACTTTTTTTCTTTTTCTTAAGATTTTTCTTTCTTAAGATTTATTTATTTTTGTTGGAAAGGCCAAATTACAGAGAGAAGGAAATACAGTGAAGAAGATCTATCTGCTAGTCACTCCCTGAGTTGCCACAGCAGCCAGAACTGAACCAATCTGAAGCCAGGAGCCAGGAGTTTCTTCTGGGTCTGCCATGTAGGTTCAGAATCCTAAAGCATTGGGCCATCCTCAGCTGCTTTCCCAGGCCACAAACAGGGAACTTGTAGGGAAGTGGAGCTACTGGGACATGAACTAGCAGGCATATGGGATCCTGGAACTTGCAAGGGAAAGATCTAGCCAGTTGAGCTAGTTTACTCGTTTTTCAGTGGTATTTGTCACATCCATGGCTATATTGATAGAATTTTTTTAAAGATTTATTTGTTTGCATGGGGCCCTATATTTTGCTTAAATCTATCATTAAAATTTACATATATTAAGAATATATTTGTAATTTATTTTCAGGGAGTTTATTGAAATAGGGTTGAATGTACATTCAGGAACAATAAACTGAAAAAAATCCTAAGAAATCAAAAAGTAGATCACAAGATACCCCAAATAATTTCTTTTGAAAAAAAATGATAATTATGGTCATCCTACCCTGTTATCCAATCATAAAACTTGTTTTTTTTTGTTTGTTTGCTTTGCTCTTCTAGCTGATTAGTTTGAAAATTGAACGTTTATATTTTCCTACCTGAACAGAGAAGCAATATTCATGTTTAAAATGAATGGAAATAAATACCTCCAGGTTTTTTTGTTTGTTTTTTGAAACTGTGAAGATGAATTCAGTTGACATCATTTAGATAAGAGTTTTTGGTGACAGTTTTGGTTAAATATTAGAAGTGTGATTTTAGCATCAGTTTTGTGAACACAGTGTTAAAAATGAAATAGGTGTATTTGAATTCAATATATTTTTGCATATGAACAGTTACAAGCTGTTTTAAGTATGATATGTCACAGAAAGCACTGTTGATATAAAACTACACTTTTTACTCCAGTTGAATTTCCATAAAACTTGTTCATATAAGCCAGGGATGGGAATCATCTGAACCACGGTGGCATAGGGCCCATAAAATCGTCTGGACTGACCCTGTCAAAGCAGCTGCCAGTGGGACTTAAAAGTCAACAGATCTGAGTCTGGTATGGTAGACTATCAGCTAACGTCCTCGCCTTGAATGCAGTGGGATCCCATATGGGCAACAGATCGTGTCCTGGCAGCCCTGCTTCTCATCCAGCTCCCTGTTTGTGGCCTGGGAAAACAGTTGAGGATGACCCAAAAGCCTTGGGACACTGCTGTCATGTGCGAGACCTGGAAGAGGTTCCTGGCTCCTGGCTTTGGATCAGCACAGCTCTAGCTGTTGTGGTTGCTTGGAGAGTGAAGCAGGGGACAAAAGATCTCCCTGTCTGTCTCCTCCTCTCAGTATATCTGACTTTCTAATAAAAATAAATAAATCTTAAAAAAAAAGTCAACAGATTTGTATCAGGCTAATAATAATTTTGTTGAATAGTGTATATGGGCTGCAGATTATGTTTTGAATATCCAAATGGCCTTTTTTTTTTTTAAAGATTTATTTTTATTATTATTTTTTCATTGGAAAGGCGGATATACAGAGAGGAGAGACAGAGAGGAAGATCTTCCGTCTGATGATTCACTCCCCAAGTGAGCGCAACGGGCCGATACTATGCCAATCCGAAGCCAGGAGCCTCTTCCGGGTCTCCCACCCGGGTGCAGGTTCCCAAAGCTGTGGGCCGTCCTTGGCTGCTTTCCCAGGCCACAAGCAGGGAGCTGGAAGGGAAGCGGGGCTGCCGGGATTAGAACCGGCGTCCATATGGGATCCCGGGCGTGCAAAGCGAGGACCTTTAACCACTTGCGCCACCGTGCCGGGCCCCCAAATGGCCTTTTAGCAGAAAAAAAATTCTTCATCCTAGCTACAAGTGTAGTCTTCATGAAAAGGGGAATATAGAATTCTGTCACATAGTTTTCTTTTTCCCAGTTTTTATTACTTTTAAGATTGATTTTGATTTACAAATTCTAGTTTACTCGTTTTTCAGTGGTATTTGTCACATCCATGGCTATATTGATAGAATTTTTTTAAAGATTTATTTGTTTGCATGGGGCCCTATATTTTGCTTAAATCTATCATTAAAATTTACATATATTAAGAATATATTTGTAATTTATTTTCAGGGAGTTTATTGAAATAGGGTTGAATGTACATTCAGGAACAATAAACTGAAAAAAATCCTAAGAAATCAAAAAGTAGATCACAAGATACCCCAAATAATTTCTTTTGAAAAAAAATGATAATTATGGTCATCCTACCCTGTTATCCAATCATAAAACTTGTTTTTTTTGTTTGTTTGCTTTGCTCTTCTAGCTGATTAGTTTGAAAATTGAACGTTTATATTTTCCTACCTGAACAGAGAAGCAATATTCATGTTTAAAATGAATGGAAATAAATACCTCCAGGTTTTTTTGTTTGTTTTTTGAAACTGTGAAGATGAATTCAGTTGACATCATTTAGATAAGAGTTTTTGGTGACAGTTTTGGTTAAATATTAGAAGTGTGATTTTAGCATCAGTTTTGTGAACACAGTGTTAAAAATGAAATAGGTGTATTTGAATTCAATATATTTTTGCATAT